AAAAAAAAAAAAAAAAAAAAAAAATCACTGCAACCAAAAAGGAATGTTTGATTAAACTTTAAAATGAGAAAGGTTGTAAGAACCACAATTATAGTTCCTTTTTCATAAATCAATCCCTAGTTAATGATTAAGAACTTAAATTTTGCAACCAAGCTTAATGCATTATTTTCTCAAGCATATTTGCAAAAAGACACTTAATTCATAGTGAAATATTGATCCCCAAAATGTGTATGCATTAGTGTAGTTGTTGCAATTAATTTTCCTAAATAATCTTCAATTCAATTTCTTTATGAGAATTAGCATTTAAGTGACTAGACTAATGAGGAAATAACAGACATCAGGATTCACATACTTAATGTGAATACAAATGGATAGCAGAGTCTGATTTGGACACAGAAAATGATAACCTGCATTTGTCTATTAGAGAACTTGAGGTCTCAAGCAGAATACTGATCCCAGGGCAAAAGACAAAGTGCAGCACTCACATTCTATATTAACATATAAACTGAAAGGGAAACAAGGGCATCCTATAACAGATTATCAACATTAACTCCTCGTTTCACTGTTTCTGCAGGGCTTGACTGGAGGGGAATGTGGGGGGGAGGGGGGGAAGTCAGGTAGTACAGTGCAATTATCCCAACCCATAATTGGCCCCATTATAGATTAGCTTTATGCCCAATTCATTTTTAGGGTTATTTTCCTGTGAGCTCTCACAAAAATAGATCTTATCAGAACAATACACTATACATGAATCACGTAGGAATTCAAAGGGAAAGGAAAACAAATTTAATGGATATACGTTCCTTGTATGACCTAGTCTATTTCTATTTTGGGAACACAGACTATTTCTAAATCAAAAGGACTAAAGCGTAATGGTAATTTATTAAATAATTTTCATATACCCAAATCTATACGCTCAGCTGCTGAAGTGCTATATATGAAACCAAACAGAAATAAAAAGGCAGCCCAAAGTATTTTCTTATAATGCCTTAAAGCTTTATTATCTTGGATGACAATTCTACTGAAAATACTTTCAAGTTTTTTACACTGCAGTCTGCTATCCCTTACAAGGATTGAAAGGTTACCCTTTATTCTTTTTAAGATATAGAAAACAAAACTGACAAAAATGAAAAAGTCTATATTAAGGTAGAAAAACTTTTTATTATAGCAACAGCAAATGAAATCTAGAGTCCAGTACATTGTTTGAAACAACAACCAAAAAAAAAAAAAAATCAAAATAACTGTTGGCTTTAAAAATGTGACCGCCAAAAAGTTCAAATGTATTTTCCACTTTAAAATTCTTAACTCATTGTAACAGAGTTTTCTATTAAAATACATGCCAATAAAAAATAGCAGAAGAAACGTCCACCACAGTATTAGTCCTGTATGTGTGAACTTTAATTGTAAGAAAACTATAATTCAAATGGTCTTTAAATTGGTTACAATATTGCAGTTCTGTGAAATTTCTAACAACATCTTTATAAAAAAATTAAAGCATTTTAATACAATAAAAATAAGCCCTGAAATGAACAGCAGAGAGTACAAAATACTTAATGTAAACTGTGATCGTCTCAAAGTTTATTTTGGAGGCTACGGAACAGTGGTAACTAACCCATGACATGTGCCACAAGTAGCAGCGGTAGCTGGTATGTCTGGCATACAAGCTCAGGACCAAAATTTAAAGGGGGCACCGGCAACAGAAGACAGGATGGCAGCCAACAGGGATCAGAACAACAGGGAAGGAGGAGTCTGGGCTAGCTTGAAGGTTTGGGCACTGTGGAAGCTGCCAGTAGGTGCCACCAAAATCACTGTGCAATGTCCTGACACTGGGCAATACCAGTGGCTGATTAGTGTCACTTATCTCATTTTGGATTAAACTTGTGGCATGTTTGCCAAAAAGACTAGACATCACTACTATAGAGCATGTAGACATTTGCTCCATATTATGTATGAAGTGCTCTGAGGGTGTTACTGAGCTAAGAAACTCCATATTCAGATAGTCAGTCCTCTTATTAATCTGGAGTAGATTTTACCCAGAAATTTCCATCGACGTACTACACTTCATACGAATAAAGATATCAGAATCTGGTCCATTTAAGTCAACACAACTATTTCTACAGTAAGAGAAAGCCAGTTTTTTTACTTTGCTACTTTTAATTGAAACTAATTTAAAAAAAATTAAAAAATAAATGAATAAAGTCAAAAAGTACCTTTTATTCAACTTCATGTTTCAAGATACTAAATTGAAGCAGCAGCGTGTGCTAAAGCAGTATACCAAATTTACTCCATGCCAAAATTAATATAATTTTTTAAAATTAAAAGTCCACTTTATTTGAATGGCGTATACAGTACTTCATTACAATGACTCCCCCTGGGACCAGGAGACAAGTTCATTAAGAGGGTGTTCATTATAATGAGCTTAGTCCATTTGTTGGATCATCATCATAAAAAAAAAAAGTGGTACCTGCTGTTAGGATTGCTAAAACTGAATGTTATAAACAGGGTGTATTATAACGGTGCTGTATTATACTTTCAAGCATCTTCACTTTGAGGAAACATGTTTAAGAATCTACAGGCTCACAATAACTTCCATAATACTTTACTTGCATACACAGTTAGTTTTTCAGCAGCTGGGAAAATTGAGCAGTTTTTACAATAAAAGTTCTTCAAATTACAATTTACAGTTTTGCTCATTTTCTGTTCCATGCTAAATAAAAGGTATTTAAGGAAAGCTTTCTTATTTAAATGACGTATATTGTAAAACATATGATTCCAAGTGAATGAATTACTAGAGTAACAAACAGAATGAAGTTTAATACCACCAAATGCAAGGTCATGTTTTAAGAGCTGGAAAAATAAAAGAACTTCTGCTCTAAACTGACCTCCCATCAACTGGAGAAAGACAGAAAAGCAAGACTTGGATACGTTAGTCAATCACAGAATGCCTATGAGCCACCAGTACTGATCATGAAAGAAAAACATGATCTTATTCAGACATGTGCTAATGTTGTCTTTTAGGTCTTGTTGAAATGGATAGCTGTGGAAGCCATACTAGCAGGATGTTCAGCTGCTTAAATTAGAATTCTGTTATCTTCGGAAGAAATGCCAGAGTTACTTAGGAATCAAAATTCGTGGAAGAGGTGATCTCTTATTAGACCAACTAGATATTTGCAAAAAAAAAAATTTTATTTGCAAGTTTTTGGGTGCATACCTTTCATCAGGCATAGGAGAGAGCAGAGATTGTAAAAGTTCTCCTAGATAGAAATGAAAATTCATATTTCACAGGAGAGCTGAAGGTGTGGCAAAGGCTCCTGCACTTTCAACTGGTTTGGCATATGCTTATCTGTACACAAGGAAAAAATCTGCAGGCTTTTTGATACAGGAACACAAGACAAGCAAGACTAAAGAATCCAGACAAAGATAACCTAACACGATTTATTCTTTTACTATTCACCCTGATATTTCTATGTTATTCTTTTAGGAGGAGAGCAGAAACTCAAACTAGATTTCAGATCTCACACCCTAACTGAGCTGAAGCCACTGGCTTAAAAAAAAAAAAAAAGTGCACCAAACACAGAAGCTGAGTATTGCCAGTTCATGATTTTTGGCATTGTTCTTAAAGCGTACACTTTGGGAATGTGAAAAACTTATTATATAAAGAGATAAAAGAGCTACATTTTTCACATGCCTGAGGCGTAGACTTTAAGACCACCACCAAAAGTCATGCGAGTTGGCAACACCAGAAACTTGAGCAGCTTAATAAAACACCATCTCTCTCTCGGATAGCAGTATATACGTTTTAAATATGACATTTTTAGGAGTACTTGGTCACTGACAAAAAGTCTCTCACAAACTTGATGAATAAAGAAACTGTTCCATCTTCAACAGTTCATAAAAAGCAGAAAACATAACCAAAACTGGCTGAGCCAGGGGAAGGCAGCAGCTATCCAGTTTGTTAGGTACAAGAAAGAAGATTTATACATGGTTTGCATAAGACCAAACAAAAGGATGGAGACACCAATGCCAACACATCAAGCAGCTCTTAAGATTTCTCTTATAAAACAATGGACAGTGAGAGTCCAGGCCAAATTGTAGACAGGTGCCCTGGGCCTACGTGATCACAGCCCAATAAAACCATACAGGGCTCTCTGCAACAAGATGCATTAGTTTTGCCTTCAGGCCAACAAAAATTCTTGTTTTTTTCCTGAGACTGTCAGGAACAGTGCCTACTTCCAAACATACACAGCTTCCCAACAAGGGAATACAGTTTCTCCTGCTGAAGAAGTTAGGACACTAATATATATATTTTTTTAAATCAAAACCTATTACTTATTACTGTAGCACTTAAGTAGTGTGGAATGT